CGTTTACCTAATAATAATTAATAATAATAATAATAATAATAATAATAATAATAATAATAATAATAATAATAATAATAAAATCAAAATAAATAATTTTATCAATGGCGTTCATTTCACGTATAAAATAGTATTTATTAAAAAAAAAAACGTGGTATTAGAATCCCGTGTAAACGGATCTATAGAATTTTACTTTTATTTATCAACCGAAACAAAAAAATAAAAAAACGATTTTAACTTTTTTTAAAATATTCAAATTATCATTTCCAAACAAAAAATCGAAACAAAAAAAAAAAAAAAAAACAAAAAATTATCATTATCAAACCCGGTGAAAAACAAACAACAAACAAACAAACGAACGAACGAACGCAATTAAAAGAGAAGCATTCCTAATATTTAACTTTTCTTTTTTTAAATTTAAAACATTCAATAAATTTTTTTAAAAAAACCAGGTATACAAATTTTATACCTTAAAAATTATAAACCTATAATTTATTATTTTGACAAAAAAAAAAAAAACACAACAAAAACCGCGGCAGCCATTATTAAACCATTCGAATAAATCAAAAAAGTTATGACGTCACGTCAATGATATCCCCTCCCCTTATTATAAATGCGTAATACCTCCTCCTCCTCCTCCACTTACCCCTCCCCAACTCTCCCATCCCCTCTTTTTTTTTTTTTTTGTAAAAATAAAAAGGTACCCGTTCGACGAGTAGTTAGGGTACTAATTTTTTTAAACGAAATACTAATGATAATGATAATGATAATGATGATAATTGTTTACGACGACAGCAGGTCGTTTGTTATCATTTTCTATTTAACTTGTGTCGTGACCGAAACGGTACAACCTGTTGCAAGATGATGCATGTAACAAACGACGTTTCCTCATAATAATAATAATAATAATAATAATGATGATGATGATGATTTTTCTCCCCGGATTTTTCTTTTATTTTCTTTGCTTACTATTATCATCATCATTATTATTATAATAAGAAAAAATGCATTTGTGCTTAAGAGAAGATTGATTGGGTTTTGCGCGTGCGCGAATTTGCAAATTTACGTTTGTTATATACCTTAAACCTTAATTGAAGATTTCAGTTTAGTTTTAGTTTAGTTTTACACGTTGCCTAACGTTAAGTTTTTCTTATTCATTTCATACCGTAATTTAAAATGATTTTCGCGAATAATAATAATAATAATAATGAAACATATTATTATTATTATTATTATTATTTTATAAATCCTTACGTTTGTCGTCGAAACATTTTAATTTTTTACACTTGATTATTATTATTATTAACAAATTTTTAATTTAAATCAATTGATGATAAATCGATTTTTATTTATTTATTTATTGATTAATTAATTTATTTATTATCATTATCATTATTATTATTATTATTATTATTAAAAAAATGTTTCGGAATATTTTTTGTGTAAAAAAAAGGACAATAACGTATTTTTTAACGATAAATTTTTTTTTATTATTTTTCGGAATCGCGTCCGCGGAAGAAAAAAAAAATGAATAGTGAGTTTTATCATCATTATTATTATCACCATTATCATTATCATTATTATTATTATTATTATTATTTTGGTGTTTTTGCAAAAAGAGTAAGAGTGATTTTTAATTTAAAAGCAGAAGAAAGAAGAAGAAAGAAAAACAATTGAATTTATGTTTAAACAAATTTTTAATATTGTTTGTTGTTTGTTGTTTGTCTAAAAGAAAAGAAAATTGTCGCGGGGAAAAAAGGGGAGATAAAATGTTTTAAAATTAAACTCTTTTTCCCCTTTTTTTCCTAAATTAAAAAATATTATGTAATTGATAATAATAATAATAATAATGGGTTAATAGACGAGCGAGGAGTGTTTGTCGTGTGTGTTGTCATACGAAATGGAATACATATGTGAAATATTGTTGTCAGACGAAGAGAGAAAGAGAGAGAGAGAGAGGGAAAATTGTTATTAAGTTAAGAAATGTTTAAAAATAATAATAATAATAATAAGTAATGTAAAAAAAAACGAGTTTAAAAAAAAAAAAAAAATGGTGGCACCTACGACTACGACGACGACCACCCAGTTTAACGTAAAAAAATTTTCGTTTTTCCATTTTCTTTTTTTTTAAATAGTAATAATAATAATAATACTAATAGTAAAAGGAAACGATACAAAACAAAAAATTCATTTAAAAAAAAAAAAAAACGTTATCACACAATTTTTGTGATGGCGTGTGTACGTGTGTGTGTGTGTGTGTGTGCGTGCGCGCGACCGTGTTTGTGTGTTTGTGTTTGTATGACAGATTACAAACTATATTTTGTAGTTTTGCTTTTTTCATACGTCATAACTTTTAAAAAATTTTTAACGTTTTACTTTACGACTAATTTTCTCTCTCTCTCTCTCTCTCTCTCTCTCTCTCTCTCTCGAAGGAAAAGTCAAAATAATAATAATAATAATTGTTATTTACATAATTGTTAACGAGCGAAAAACAAGCGAATCGAAGTCGATTTCGAAAATTAAATCGTTTTCGTTTGAAAAAAAAAAAAAGAAAAAAAAAGTGCGTGTGCACGCACTCACGCACACACCCACGCACACATAAATAATTAATTATTATTTAACGATTAGTACGTGTGGAAAAAAGAAAAAGAATAAAGAAAATAGAAAATTTGAATTTTCACTTTCTGGGAAAACGAAACATTTTATAACGTTCATTTTATATATCGATTAATTTCGAGATATCGAATCGAAAACTTTTATTTTTTCTTTTTCTCACTTATTATTCGTACGGGGAAGGTTTTTTCCGTTACGGCGAAAGATGGCGAGTTTTTTTTTTTTTTTGGGGGGGGGGGAGATTTTCCCTGGATCGAACGTTTGGAACGTTTATCACGTGATATAATTGTTTCGCATTGGATTTATAAGAAAAAGGCGACGTATGGGGTTAAAATTTTTTTTATTATTTTCAACGACGACACACATACATAAAACTAACAAACGAAAAAAAAAAATTAAATTAAATTAAATAAAAGGAAAATCGAATGATGGCCATGGGGGGGGTGGGTGGGAGGGAAAATACGAGAACAGAAACTAGTGTTAAAAACACAAGCCGGTGAATTTCTAACTCAATTGTATAATTAAATAAGTGAAGAAAATTCATACCGACGCCTGAATTTTTCTTTTTAAAGCCTTGGCAGACGAAATAAAATGATTGCTTTCAACACCACGACAGACATTTCGACAGCATTCATAAAACAAACACAACAACCAAAGTTTTCATTTTTTTTCGCGTTTTGATATACAAACGAAACGAAAGGGAAAAAAAGGAATGAAATTGACTTACCTTACACGTTCAGGTATCGGCAATCTAATAATTTTTTGACATTTTCATCGAAGCTTTTGATCAAAAAAATGAATTCGCCATGAGAAGGTGAACAACCAACAACCGACGATGACGTTCCTGTAAAAAAAAAAAAAATAATAAAAAATTAATAAAAAAATTTTTCGAAGTTTAAAATTTAAAACGTTTAACGACCCAAAAGGTTTTTTAATAATACGAATGGAATGATGATTATGATGATGATAATAATAATAATAATAATGGCAACAACAACAACCAAAGCTATTGTTTGCAGTCATTTAAATTTGAACAAAAAAAAAACAAAAACAAAACAAAAATTTTTTATTTATTTATTTTTTATTATTATTATTATTATTATTTTTGCAAGTCGTTCGATCGATGAATTTATTATTATTATTATTATTATTTTACGTGTTTTTTTACAAGCGACGAAAAGTAAATAATAATAATAATAATAATAATAATTTTTATTATTCGTTTTCTTAAACGCGACAAGAATTTTTGTTTAAAAAAAAAAACGACAAAAAAAATTTTTGATAGACAAGGTGACGACGTGTAATAATCATAATAATTGTTATATTAATTAATATTAAACGCGGAATCACGTGAGAGAGAGAGAGAGAGAGAGAGAGACGGGGAAAGAGAAAGAAAGGAGACAGAGAGAGAGAAAGAGAGAGAGAGAGAGAATTTTTTAAAAAATTATTATTATTTAAATACAATTTTAATTCGATGCTACCGCGATATTTTTCAATTAAACTCTCCCTCCCTCCCTTCGGCCCCCCAATAACTAAAAAAAAAATGTCATGCGGGTATCCTTTATAATCTCAACCTTCCGAATAAATTTTCAAAGGTCGCGAACTTTATGAGGAGAGAGAGAGAGAGAGAGAAAAGCCAACCTTGACGATCGGACACGCGAAAATTTTCAATCGAGATTAAATTTACAAAAAAAAAAAAAAAAAAAAAAAAAAAACAATAACGACAAACAACAAACAACAACCGAACAAATAAAATAAAAATAAAAATAAAATGCGGGTGGATAAACCATAATAATAATAATAATAATAATTTTTTGAAAATTATAAAAAAAAAAAAAAGAACAAACAAAAATTTCAATTCATCCCCCGTTTTCATTTATTATTATTATCATTATTATTTTCCGACAGGGATTTTCCATTTTCGTAAATTTTCGTGAGTCGATAAATAAGAAATTTATTAATCACATTCAAATAATAATAATAATAATAATAATAATAATAAAACGTGAACCGTGAATAATTTTAACAGGAAAACAAACAACGCCACGTTGTTGTTGCTGTTGTTGTTGTTGTCGTTATTGATGAACTCGTAACCTCTATTCGAAAGTAAAAAGAAGGAAAAGAAAAGAAAATGAAAAAAAATTAAATTGTTTTTTTTTTTTTTTTTTGCTGTCGGATTTTTCTAAAGTACAATTATGATAATGGATTCGCGGGGGTTTTTCTCGGGGGGGGGGGCGTGAAAATAAAATAAAAAAAAAAAAAACGAAACAAACGAAATTGCTTTGCTCATAACATAACATTAATTTATCATTATTAATATTGTTATAGTTATAGTTATTACGGTTGTTGTTGTTGTTTGTAGCCTTACCTGTTCAACTACGGATTCTGGAATGAATTCAAACGCTCACATGCTATTACAAGAAGCTGTGAAATGCGGGTACGACAAATGGACGAGACCAGGTTCAACGACGGAACCTTTACAAGTTCACACGAGGATCTACGTTTATTTTTTGGGATCCATCGAAGCTCATTTCTTGGTAATAATAATAATAATAATAATAATCTACCTGAAATATTTTAACACCGTGAAAAAATTTAACAAGTAAATTTATATTAGGGAGTATTTTTTTTAAATTTACAAACAAACAAACAAACAAAAAAATAACTTGATTGATTGATTAAAGAAATATTTTAAAATAAAATAAAATAAAATAAATAAATAAATGAAAAAGTTGGTAATGGTAACTAATTAAAAAAATTTGTTTTTTAATTATTACAAAAGTAAAGAGAGAGGGTGGGGAGAAAGGGGGAGGTTTAATTATTGTAAAAGAATTTGTTTTATTTTTACCTACAGCAATTTACGGCTCATCTCCTCGTGAGACTTCGATGGAAAGATCCCCGTTTGGCATATGGTCAAATGGCGCCGAAAGTTGACAGAATCGTTGGGGAAGCCATGTTGAAAAATAAAATATGGGTGCCGCACGTGTATTTGGTAAATGAAAACGAATCGAAAATGATGGGAGCCGATCAGCAAGACGTTTTAGTCACCGTCAGACCCGATGGAACCATTTATTTTTCGAGGAGGTAAAAATTCTATTTCCGGTTTAGGCGATACTATTTCCGGTTTCGTTTTCGCTCACTTTAAAACTTGATAAAATTTTTTGTTTTTTCCTCCAGAGTGAAAGTTACATTATTTTGCCTGATGAATTTACAAAAATTTCCATTTGATAAACAAGAATGTCCGCTCGTTTTGGAAAGCTGTAAGTTTATGGAAAAAAAAAAAAAATTTACAATGATTATTTTTAATAATAATAATAATAATAATAATAATTTCCGATGGGAAATAATCACGTGACGTTCTTTTTTTTTGTATTAATACATACATGTTTTTTCGTCAGGGACTTATAACACAAGTGAACTCGTATTAAAATGGGAACCGAAAGATCCCGTTATTATAAATAAAGATTTACACCTGACGGAATACAAACTGATAAAAACGTGGGAAAATTCATCAGTTGTTTCATATGAAAATTCAGATTTCGAAGAAGATGAAGTAGAAGAAGTAGAAGAAGAAGAACGAGAAGATTTAACAAATTCTTTTGCCCACTATGGGAAATTTTGTATGTTTTTATAACATCTAACCTATTTTAAGTATAAAATTTTCCTCATTTTTTCTTTTTCAAATTTTCCAGCTGGAAATTACAGTTCGCTGACGGTTAAATTTCAATTGGAAAGAGAAATCGGTCACTACATAATGGATTTTTACGTTCCGAGTATTTTATTAGTCGTCGTCTCGTGGGTATCATTTTGGCTGGATCCAAATGCCGTACCTGGAAGAACGACTTTGGGTAATTTTTTTCAGAATTTTTCTTATCGTAATAATGATGATATTATTATTCATATTGATGTTTTTTTTTGTTTAAAACAGGTACGAGCACGATGCTTACTTTTATAACATTGACGAGAAATACGGGAAGTTCACTTCCAAAAGTTTCTTATATAAAAGCAACAGAAATTTGGTTTCTTGTTTGTACGGCTTTCATATTTGGTTCTCTCGTAGAATTTGCATTCGTCAATACGATATGGAGAAGAAAGTGAATGATTGATTGATCATTTTTTTCTTTTAAATTTTTTTTTATATTACAATTTTTTTTTTTTTTTTTTTTTGATTCATTCATAGGCAAAATGTCGCACTGAAGAAGGTTAATAGTAAACATATATTAAAATCAACTCTTACGCCTCAACTTCATAGAAAACAATTAAATAATTACATAGAAAGATGTCAATCGTGGCCTTCCGTGGTCGATGAAAACGACAAAGGAAAAGACAATGTTTTTTATTTGCGTGACGTAAATGTAATTATAAGATCGTCGTGGAGATCGTTGTGTTTTTAATTAAAAACCTGAAAATAATATAAATTTTAATGGTTGTTTTTTGTATTAAATTTATTTACAGAGCAGTCGAAACGAACTCACGGTTAATTCAATAGAATCGATAAATATGGAAGCTTTTCGTAGTAATAATCAATCGGCTGAAACTGTCGATACGACTACGAGTAACAAATTATGCGATTCAAATTGTCAAAATATCGTCATACCCATACCTACGGTAACATCGAGTCCGACAAACAATCAACAAACGAAAGGCCTCACGACCATGACTCCCCAAGAAATAGCAGACTGGATCGATCGTAGGAGTAGAATTTTATTTCCGGCATCATTTTTTATTTTTAATGCATTTTATTGGGGATTCGTGTGGATATAAATAAATAAAAGTTTTTTCAATTCATAATAACTTTCACGTGTTTTAATAATTTACACTGAAACAATTATTAATTTAGTTATTATTATTATTATTATTGCTTGTGTTGTTAAACTGTTGTTGTTGTTGTTGTTGTTAAGTTTTCAATATGAATTTTTAGTCAATAACAAAGGATTATATTATTTTTAGAATTTTCTTAATTCAAATAGACTGTAGTAATTAGATACTGTGAAAATATATATATATATTTTTATAAAAATCTGGAAAAAAAAAAAAAAATTATTTAATAACAGAATATCTAAATAATAATTAAAAAAAAGTTATAATTCAGCTTCTGGATCATCACTGTTAAAAAATTTATATATTTTTTTACTCAGCTGAGGTCCAAGTCTTCTATTCGAAGACAACAAACCAAAATCTCTTCGGATTTGAATGTTTTGTAATAAAAGTTCACCTTCTTCAGAATTCAAGCAACTTTTATATTTTTTAACTAAAGCAAGTGGAGATTTGTATTGGCTGACAATAGCTTGTGCCGTATCGACGCCTACCGTGCTAAATTGACATATTTGTTGTTGCCATAAATTGATTAATCCATTACCATTTTTATCGATTTTAACTGTTTGAGAAAAATCACCTTTTGCAAACCATTCAAAATCATCTTCTTGCCTTTTTTGTTTATCTATTTTATAATCGATTTGTGATAATGATTTTGTTATGTTTAAAACCAAAGCTGATAATTCTTCAGGTTTTTCTAAAAGTCTTTAATGAAAAAGCAATAAATAAATGATTAAATTGTTTAAAAAATTATTAAATATTAAAATAATAATCCTTACCTGCAATTATGCTTTCCTAATAATTGCAAATCGCATAATGCAAATTCTAATTGATCTTTAGTGACTAAAGGAGATTCTTTATACATTCTTTCTAATTCTGTTAGTTTGTTACCTTTACCTTTTGAATCGTTATTTTTTTTATTTTTCCAAAATTCAAAATATTTTTGTAAACCGCAAATGACCAATGTGATTTTTTTCTCTATGTATGCAGTTCTTATGGTTTCCAAGTGACTTAGCAATTCATCATCATTTATGAGATTAATTGTTTTTTTCCAATCGATTACATAAAGCAATTCAGTTTCATCTTTATATTCAATTTTTTCAATAAACTCTCCGAAATCGTTTAATTCTTTGTGAATTTTTTTTTTACTCCAAGTAATGACATGACTTTTAATTTGACTTTGAACAGTATATTGTATATCATTTTGCTGTAATAGAGTAATTATGTTACCACCCAAATTCAAATTAACAATTTCATTGTCTATGTGAACTTTTAAAAATTTTATATTTTCCTCGGGTTTAAGATTTCTTTGATTTTCAATTAAAATAGCTTTGACATTTTTTTGCCTTAATTGCTCTGCTTTTTTAACTTCTTTCAATTTTTCCCTCTCTTGTTTTTTTTGCTCTTTTAAATCTTTTGCTAATTGTTTTTCTTCTTGCGAAAGTTTATTTTTAATTCTTTTTTCTTTAGGACTTTTTTGCAATAAATTTTTTAACGAATTTGATTTCAGAGGCGAAACAGATAAATTTGAAGTGTCGCTGACGTCACTGACATCATAATTGGAAGTAGAAAGTAGATCTTTCTGAGGAAAATTGAAATTTTTTGATAAAAAATCATTTTCTTTTGTTGAAGAAGCAGCATTTCCATCAGTTTCCTTAGAATTTACTAAACCTTCGTTCTAAAATCATACAAATAAAAAATTGCATTACACAAACACTTTTTTACGCAAAAAATATAAAGTTTTTTCATACCTCAAAAGGTTCTTCATTAATTGGATAATCTGTTGGAGGATAAACTTCATCGTTCCAATCAACTAAGAAAACATCATTTTCGTTATTAGCAGATGTAACTGAATTTTTGATATCGTTAGAAGAATGAGAATTTTCCGAATCGGATAATATTTCTATGACTTCCATTTTAGAACTCTTTTGTATAACTTTCTTTTCATAATTATCATATTTATTAAATAAAAATAACTTTAAAATAATAATGCATAAAAGAACCGTTGAAACTTATATTTGTCGCCATGAAAATTTTGCAAGAATGAAAATTCTAGTGCCACGATCATTGTAAATAGTTGTATCCAAATAAGTATTAACCTTAATTAAACTTTTTGATTTTATTTTCTATTAAAATGGCTCAGGCCAATGATGTTATTGTTGATGCTTTGCCATACATCGATCAAGGTTACGATGAACCAGGAGTGCGAGAAGCTGTAAGACTTTAATATATTCATGTAAAATTACTAATAATAATAATAATACTGTGCAATTTCAAATGTAATCAATATTCATAATTTCTTAGGCACTTTCAATGGTCGAAGAAGAAACTCGAAGGTACAGACCTACAAAAAATTATCTTGAACATTTACCACCGTTAAATCTTACATCTTTTGAGGTATGACTGGTACATCATATAAATAATGCTTGTAACAAGTGATGGAATTTATAAATTTACTAATTAATAATTTTAGACTAAAATAATGAGAAATGAAAATGAAAGAATGCAGCAAAGGTTACCAATGGAAGTTTTAAGTATGAGAAGATATGAACTTCCACTTCCACCACCTGGAAAATTAACTGACATGTCAGCCTGGGCTGAATGTGTTGACAATTCATTATCGCAGCTAGAACATCAAGCTACAAGGTAATTCAACAAATCATAATAATAAATAATTATTTACAAAATAAAAATTATGTTGGGTAATTTTATTTTTAGAGTTGATAATTTAGAATTAATGTTAGAATATGGATGTGAAGCTTGGAGAAGTTATTTGGAATTTTTAGTGAATGAAGTTTCGTGTGCTCAGAAAAAACTTCAAGACATTCGGTAAAGTTCAAATTATCATTTAAATCGCTAAGAATTTAAAATTCATTATTTAAATTTTTAGATGTCATCATGGTAAATAATAATAATAATAATTCCTTTTTCTCTATTTAGTAAAGAAATTCAAGAAATTAATTGGGATAGAAAAAGTTCGCAAACAAGCGGAGGTGAAAAATTAATCAATTTAGAAGCCACATGGGTTCAATTAGTTTCTAAAAATTATGATATAGAACAAGCTATTGTAAATTTGGAAACTGAATTGGCACAATTAGAAAAAGAACCAGTGATTCCGAATGAAGGTTGAAGGTAATATTTTTGTAATATGATGATGTATTTATGTATCGATTGTAATAAAAATAATTATCATAATGATTTTAAAAAAAATTTCCGAATGAGAAAACTAAAATATATATATATAAATATTTTATTTTTAATGTAAGATTTTTTAAATGTCTTTTTTCCTAATGAATTGTCAATGTAAAATATCCATAAAGAGTAAAGTAGTTTTTTATTATATATATATCGGAGGATCTTTACTTATCAAAAAATTTATAATAAAGTTTATAAGGGTGGTTATTTTTGTTTGATTAAATAAAATAAATGTATTAACTTTCAAATAAATGTTTTTACTAAAGTAACAAATAAAGAATTTCAAACAATTTAAAAAAAAAAAAAAATTTATTTACAAATAAGGTTTTTAATTACATACACTAATCGATAATCAACTGGTAGGAGGCACAATTACTTGCCCATTTTGTTTGGGCTTCCTTTCCTCTATCACTTATTTCCTATAAGTTAAATTTAGAAATTTGAAATGATCAAATAGTGCATCATTTAAAATTTTTACTATTTACTAAATAGTAAAGAGTTTTCGTTTCCCTCACAAACGATATTTAACTCATTGTGATCTTATCGTCAAAATCGAATATTAAAACATTTTTCATTTTGTTTACGACTACAAAAAAAAACGAAAAAAAATTGTGACATTTTCAAATTTATATATATAATAAAAAATTTTTCTAAATAATATATATATATATATATATATATGAAAAAAATAAAAAAAATTTATTTACACTCGTTAATAAAATAATATTTTTCTAATTTAAATTTATATATTTGTAAACTAATTAAATTATTACTCTTGTTGACTCATTTTATGTTTTTCCGATTTCATATTTTCTAATTCTTGTTCTAGCCTTTCTTTAGCTCTCACAACTTTAGATTGTAAATAAAAAGATCCTCCTTTGGTTTTATCATTTGCATTAAACAAATGTTCATATTTTTCTTTTATTTCAACCGGATCCATTTTGCTAACGTTAAGAATTTGTTGTGCTTCTTCTAATGTTATACCCGATCTAATGTTTTCTTGTGCACGTTTTGCTCCCGTTTTTCCACCACCTCCTCTCCTTGCAGCTTCTCTACTTGCATTCAGTTCTTGCCTGACAGCTCTTGCAAAAGCTTTACCAATAACTTGAGCACCTACAATAATTATTTGCGCCACGTACTTGGCCATTATTTACAACAACAACAACAATAAAAAAAACAATAAAAGACAAAAAAGAGAAAAAAAAAAAAACGATTCTACTAAATAAATTTTAATTCAATTTTAAAATTTACTGTTTTAAATTATATATATATCACATATCGAAGAACATTACTTAGTGCGCCATCTTTATCGTGGTATTAGATTTATAAATTAAACCAAGCGGCCATTTTGAAAAAAAAAACCGCGTAAATTTTTTTTCGAATTTTCGTTATTATTATTGCTTATTTTTTTGTGTGTTTATTTTTATTACCATTATTAAAAAATTATCCGAGTTATAAAGTTTTATTCTACTCTACTACTACTAGAGTATTATTATAATGTTAATAATACAAATAATAAAAAAATGGTCGGGGGGAGGGGGAAATTTAAGAAATGATAGGTTTCGTTATGTGAAATAAAATTTAAAAAAAAAAATATATAAAATGAATTTAATTTTATAATATTTTCCTTATGTGTGTGTGTAAGGAAAAGGCGATGAAAAATTACCACCTGGACATTAAATTTAAAAACATTTGATTATACGGATTAAATATTATCACGACGTACACAATTTAAAATTTTTTTTTCTTTTTATTCCTAAAGGCAATTAACATTAAATAATATTTTTAAACTCCTCCCCACTCCCCACCCCCCCGAAAAAAAAAAACATTTCAAACGGATAATTTAATATTATTTTAAACGGAATCAACGATTTAAAATATATATATTTAAAACGAAAAACCATTAAAACTTTTTTTTTTAAGGGAAAGCATATCCGTTTCCTCTCTCCCCTCTCTCCCCCCTTTCCCTTCCTCTCTCTTTAAGGTGTTAACCAACGGTTATTATCAAAATTTGTATTTAAAAAGGTTAAAAAAAAAAAAAACAAAAAAACAAAATGAAATTTAATTTAATGGAGATTAATAATAATAATAACAAAAAAAATTTTTTTTTTCATTTTACCTAAAAATCAGATAAAATATTAAAGTATTTAATGTTATAAAAAAAAACAAACTGATATAATAATAATAATGGACGATGTTGTTAAAGGTTCTTTCAATAATAATAATAATAATAATAGAAAGGAATGAAAGAGAAGACAGATAAAAAAAAAAAAAAATTTTTTTTTGTGAACGGTTCCAATTGATTTTACATATTATCGATAATACTCTTATCGTGATTCGATTGTTTGTCATAATAATTCGCCTAAAGGAAATTTTAAAAATGAAATGAATTGAAAGAATAATAATAATAATAATAATAATAATCCTCCACCCATGAGTCAAGGTAACCCATTTAAATAAAGGTATTATTAATTTTATAATATCGTAACGATTAATCAATATTGAACAATACACTAACAAACAAACGAACAAACGAACAAACGAGAATTTATTTTTCACATTGTTTCACTTTACAAACGTATAAAACATTAAAAAAAAAAAAAAAAAAAAAACGTTAACTTACAGTGAACTTCAACGAATAAATAAAAATGATTCTTTTGACACGATCGTATTGATGACGTCACGATTTACGCCACGCCCACGAATAATAAATTAATCCAATTGAAATCGATCCATGTCGGACACTGTCGCCATGAAATTATTTGGCGCGCTTTTTTAAACGTAAACAAACAAAAATGAAATTTCCGTTACGATTTTTGCGTTCGAACGTTCGAAAATTTAAAATTTAAAAAAAACATTCCGTTAGATTATTTAAATTATTTTTTTTTTCTTTTAAATTTATGTGATGAATATATGAGTTTGTTTGTTTGTTGCGTTTGTCTCGTTGATTATTATTATTATAAAATCCGCATATTTTCATCACAGTTAACACATAAATAATAATAATAATAATATTAATAATAATAACAATAAAAACCGTTACAATCTCAATCGTCGTATAATATAAAAAAAAAATGTCTTTTATTTTATAATTTTTTTTATTACGCGACTTCGTTAATAATAATAATAATATTTAAAATGGAAAGATGAGGGGTGGGGGTGGGGGTGGGGAGGAAGGGAAAGGGTCAAATTTTTTTTTTTTTTATCTTTCGAGTAAATTCAAATTCCGGAAATGG